GCCGTGCTTCTTGGTCACGCTAAAGGAGGGCAAAATAGCAGGGTGGTATATCCATGTTCCTGTTGATTGAGTTGGGGTCTCTGTCATGCCTCCTGTAATTCTTATCCCGTCTTACTACTGTCTTGTGCCAATATCCGCATGCCCGTGAAATCGAATTCGTGGCCTTTTCGAGGGTGTGTGCTACCATTAGACAATCATGCTCTAAAAAATTTGGTCATCGCGGGTTTAAACAGAATGTGTTGCCGACTCTGTGCACTTTAACTCACGGGTCTTACGGTCGGGTATGCTTGGCCGATGACGACAAATAAGTTGGAAATGACCATTCGATCATCCTGGTATTCATCAGCAATATTTTCATTGTAAGAGATTTAATACTTAAGTGACGGCCGACATGTGACTTTATTGTCTACAAGAAAACATGATTGTGGGTTACAGAAGAAGCCCTTTTAAAGTATCTTCTCATGCTTAAAAGTTCCTAGTTCTTAGTAAACTAATATAAAAAGCGCTAAATGCGACAGGAAAGGAGTACTTTCTTTTGCCTTGTTCTACATTTTACTTCCATCTGTTTACTGCTCCGACCTGGACAAAATGCCCAAAGTAGTAACCATAATTATGTGTTTACATCGCATTTCAAAGAATTAAAACACTGTCTGTTGCCGACCAAAGTCCTTTAAAAATACCACAGCTGCCTCCCCTTTCCATGCATCGAGGCCTTGCCTGGAGCTAGCTAGCAAATATTGGCTTAAAGGTGGAAGGACGCTAGTTACGTTTTTTTAATTGTTGCCGAACATCAAACTATTGTACAGCATGAGAACCCAAATGAGCCCTTCTGGGCTTTGAAGCGCTGACCTCAAGGTCAAATTGTGCTGACCCCGCCGAAGAAGTGTTAGTGAAGTGATGCACTATGGTCGGATCTGTTGGAAAACAGTCAAACATGCTTGAACGTTGAAGGGTACCGAACAGCGAAGACTTATCCGAAAAGACGGGCATCTCTGAGACGATCAAATTCCAGCCTCCGCAACTGGCGGGCTATCTTCTACAGGAAGGCAGAATAGTTACAACTTTTGAAGGGATTCCGATAAAATATTGCGGTTGCTAAAGGACAACGGCCCCTCGTGCACAGTCGCCAAGAGGTCCTACGCGTGTGAATTATCCAGTTCTGAACCGACGTTGTTGTCGGCTTCTCGAAGGTTTAAGTGGATTCGCGGTAAAGAACAGGCGTTTATCGTTGTACTCTTCAAAGGCCGATCGCTAACCCCCAAATTTTACCTCACAAATGGAGCTTTCTTTCCAAAAATATCCATTAGTTGCGTTTTCGTTTATTCACGTCTCTAAATAAGGCAGAGCCGTCTTGCACTAGGATTGAGGCTGTGCCTTTTTCCTTTTCAGACCATGCAGTTCCCGATTTTTATCCGCCTAACTTAGTGGTTAAGTAGGTCGATAATGTGCGAACACCTTGAGTTACAGGGATAAATGTAATTCCTACAATGAGCAGCAGTTAATCTAAGTTTCCTAATTTAGATCAAATGTTACCTGGAAGGTTACCTCTCCACTGCTTATGAAATTGTCGTGTTCGTCGTCTATATTTTTTATCGAATGCTTAAAAGAATAAGACGACTGTACATAAAACGTTATGGTAACACTCATGTTCTTCTGTTCATCTTTATGTGTTGCTGTAATTGCTTTCATTTTCCCTTGGAGGGTTTTGGGAGACAGTATATGTTAAGCGGAAAAAAGGAACATATTTGCTTCGTTATCCAATCAGTGAGTCCCATGGTAACACTCAATTCTCGATCGCAACCAACAAAAAAGACTAGCCCATAATGCAGTTGTATAGTGTTGCACTCAATGACCAAAGGTCGTGGGGATGGATCTCGGGTGATCGCCACTTGAGATAGGATATGACTGGCTGGTGACGACTGGCAAGCCGGAAATGGCCATTCCGGTCTCCCCTATCATTTTTCGGTTCCCCTTTATCAAAATATACGTCAGACCCTTATGTAGTTGCCTGTGTGGGTTCTATGGTGTGCCCCAGAGATCCATACGGCGACACGTCAAGCGAAGCTGAGTACTGAATAATTGGCCAAAGCTTTTAGCTCAAGCATGAAGGGCTAAAGCCTGGATACCCAGCGATGATAATTTTTTAATATTATTTTGGTGTATAGGGCAATAAAAAAGATAAGAAGATGTGTGTAAATAATTAGGAAATTTTTGCGAAAAAATGTTTCAAAGAAAGTATTTTTGGAAAGTGCGTGCTAAAACAAAGACGAAATTTGCTGAGTCAGAGAGGA